GACCCAACCCTCCAGGGTCCAGGGATTTGGGGTTTCAGGGCCAGCATTTACAGCACGCAGGGATGAGCTGCAGGAAGAAATACGTAGCCTTCCTGACTCATTAATGCACCCAAAGTTTGCACTTCACAGGGCACAGCTGTGACACACTTTTATTGTGCTATGGTATACGCACTATTTCAAAACTGTCCGATTACTGGAACTAGGATAAAACTCTTTGGATAATCTGAGATCTCTGGAGATTAGCACATAGTTTTTTTCCTGTTCGTACATACAGGCATATCTTTCTTGCGCCCTTACTCAGCTGGGTAATGTGTCCAGGCATAACTGCAGCATATGCAGAAATATCATCCCACTTATTTTCCCAGTGGAAAGTTCATTTGTGAAATCCTGGTTTGGGAAATAGTCAAATGACTGGGGATTTTGTAATTATATTTGTAATATTGGAAGCCTAATATAGCTTTCTCAGACGACTATTTTGCTCGTCATTCAGTTTTAATCAGTGATAATTCTTTCACTCAACTAGAAGAAGTGGCTAAAACACAATCTGCTTTTTCAGGTAGCAGAGAATCAAGGCATGGTCATCAGGTAGTCTGTAGATCATGGATTATAACACAAAGCTTATTCAGAGCATAGCATTCAAATACAGTTAAATTTTCTTTTTGAGCAACTCACTACTCCCCTCAAATAAGAAGTAGCGAGGTAATAGCAATGTTGCTAGTTCATAAAATATTATGACAATGATGGGATTTGGTGATAGAGCATTCAGCTGATGGCATCCTTCCATGAATGAAAAAGACACTTAAGTTTTACTAAAAAAAAAAAAAAAAAAAGGTTGTAGTCCTTGTTCCTCCAGAGAAAGGTCTGGACTTGTGACCCAAAGGTACCTAAAAATCTCTGCTCGTGTGTGTGTGTGCATGGGAAACTGTAATTTCTAAGCCTGTCTCATGATAGCTGAATGTGGGGATTTTTTTTGCCAGTAATACTATCTGTCTCACAGGGGAGAGGAGAAGCCAACTCTATTTATAGTTCAGATTCACTGTCAAATGCTATCTTTCAGAACAGCTTTATAAATGGTGCAGGACAGATTCTCAGCTGGCACAAGTGAGCAGAAAAAGAGAACTTGTGCCAATTCACGTTAGTTGAGAGCGCTAGCGAACTCATCATGAGGGTCAGACAGCACTTCAGAAACATTCAGCAGCACTTCGCTGCACCGCCGTGACATGTGTCTGCAAGTACGAGCATTACTGTAGATGGCATTTAATCCTGTGTTGTACCTCTAGGGAAGGCAGACAGCCCCTACACACCACCTCTGCTGCAAAGCCCTGTGCCCTGTGAGTAACCAGGGCTGGCGGAGCCCAGCAGAGATGGTGAAAAATACTGAACATGGAGAATACACTTCATAAGAGGTAGACCCAGGAGTTAGGCTTCTTATGCCGTAACGTTTTATAAATTCATCCCCAAATGAACTCGTAGTGGCCATCCTCTTGTGCTCAGTGGAAAAATGAGTATTAGGTATACAGCACTAAAGTAATACAGCAGGAGTAGCTTATCTTGGCTTTTAAACCCAATAGCTAAATAATATGGTAACATCCTCAAAAGCCCTTCAGTTACATAGGAACCTAATGGCAGTTTACACATAGATAGATGCAGATAGGGGTTCAGACCCCCTGAGTGACCATCTCAGGCTGTTTTCTTCTCCCTCTAAACTACCACGAATAAGACTTGGAGCTCCAGCACAAAGGAGAGTTAGTTAAGGCAAGTAAAAGAGCTGTGTGGGAGAGTAAGAGAAAATCACTTCTTGAAAATAGATGTGTGAAATGAGTCTTAGCCAAACGCATGGAAGATTTGAGGTCTGCTTTTCTGCTAGTCATGTCTTGAGTCAAATGAGATAGAACCGGTGGGACATACTGTGGAAGCCACATCCCAGTCTAGCCAGTGTCCTTATGGTTCATCCACTTAGTCACTCAGCTGTAGGAGACATCTGTAAACCGCAAACAGTCTCAAAGCAGTCTCTTATCTAACGATGCCTTTTTTTTTTGATGTGTTGTTTCTCTCTTACTCTTCTATTGGGACTGGTTGTCTTCTACCGATGAGCTCTTCCTAGTCCCAGGTATGGTTGATTGCATGTGCTTATGATAATGTCTCAAAGCTGACGTATGCAGTACCAAGATCCTAGTCTTTGTAGTTTCTGAGTCAGATGCATTCCCTGTGAGCTTTTGGCAGTTTTGTGGTGGGACAGGCCTAACAGCTCCTTCTAGAGCTGTTCTCCATTGGCATAGGAAGTGTTGATACCACAAGCCCCTGGGCCTGGACCTACTGAACAAATCCAGAAGCCGAAGGAGCCCTCCGAAGAGCCGTGACGCTGGTAGATCACAGCCACCGGCTGCACACCACTGCCAGTTTGCTGATATTGAGGCTGGGAGGTGGCGTTGTCTCTAGGAGCAGAACGTTTAAGTCACATTGAACATTATTTACAGGGAGAGGAGAAATGTCTCTCTGGTATAGATAACCAGCGGTGCAGATACCCACAAAGGAAAATGCAGTTAATTACCTTTTAGCCTTTCCAAGCATATATGGATCCAGTATTCCTCCGCTTTCTTTTCCTACAGGGAAGGTATCAGAAGTGCTGCCCCTGTGGGCATCAGTGTCGTCTCTTCTAATCTGTTGGGCAGCATCAGCCACTCGGATCCTCTGAGGCTGAGCATAAGTCAGCAGAGTTTTGCCTTGCCTTCCGTTGCCACAAATAAGAAAATAACCTTTTCTTCGAGGATTAAGCTTAGTTGATTCACAGAGCTGTAGCATTTGCAAATAATTAAAACTGGATTTTGATACAAAAGAGCATAGTTTGCTGCTGTAGTTTTTGAAGCCTTTTTTGTCTTCCCATTTACATTAAGACTGACAAATATCCATCCATAATCTCTTTAGAACAGTCAGGAAGTGCCTGGGCTTGCTCCAAATGTACCTGTTATTTTAACAGGGAGGTTGTCCCCATGTCATACAGCACTATAAGGGGTGATCAGTTTTCCCTTTATTCATATGATCAATGTTTTAGTTGCCTTTATCCATCCTTCTGCATCCATCAGTTGAAGGTACAGTGAACTACCTTTCTTTTGCTATGCACAATAAGGCATTTAAATGTGCAAGTAATTTAATCCACACCTGAAAACACTGGCAAAGAAGTTGCGGGTCAACTTAAAAATATTAGAAATGCTTCAATCAAGAGTCTCTTCTTCCTTGAAGTTAAAGTAATTCTTGCATTTAGGCATTAAGGACTTTTCAAATACCATCCTTTCACTCACACAAAAACTCAACAAATCAAATGCATACTCAGGCACAGTATCAGACCAGAATTTTAAAGTACTTTTGCTAGTGGAAATCACTCTTTATTTAAAGTGTATTTAGTTCTTCATCGTACTACCCATTGCCTTCAAACCCACTGGATTTTATTATCCATATTAGCTCACTAATATATTTCCAGAATACTTCTCAAAAAATGTAAGAATTGTTCATTCCTTTTTATATCAAAGAGCATTTTAAAGTATTTTCATTTGCCCCGCAGCTTGAATGTTATGTGTGTTTAAAATTCCTTCCTAGTTACTTTGCTCCAGGACTGCTTCTTAGGGTTCAAAGTTCAATTTCTCAAGGACCAGAAGAAAGAAGGAGGGTCTCATGTTGTTTAGATACGCCGAGTTTGCAATGCTGAGGACCGTTGTCTCTTGGCAATTAGTGCTCAGCCCCTAGTACCTTGTATCTGGTAAAGATGGGATTCAAGTAAATTATTAACTGTTGGTTATGGTGGCTTGGTTTGCACAATATTTGACATTAAAACTGGCCCTTACTCCATCTGTGTGCTTTGGAACGAGACCAGGAACTAAATTTAGCCGGTCCTGGCTGCAGGGCGAGCATAGCTGTCGGTCCTGCCTGCAGCGGTTGCCGCAACCTGCTCTCCTTATCGGTTTACAAAGAGGGGAGCTTCCTGTTGGTTTTCAGACTTTTTGAATGACACTGGACAGGTTTGCTCTGCTCTTCTCATGAATATTCAGACATAAGTGCAGCGCTGCCTCGCTTCTTACGCTTTTTTGGTTGTGGATAAATGCTGCTCAGCAGGGCAAGCAGCTACTCAGTTTAGCAAAACAGCTGCTGAAAAAAAAGGGGATGTCAAAGTTCTTACCTGCTTTTTAATATTTAAGCCTCTAAAGTAACTGGATACCAGCTTTCAAGTTTTTCTTCTAACTCTCATGTCTAGAAACTTGATGCTCTTTCAGAATAAACAGAGTCAGAAGTCTCACTCCAGGCACTGGAGACTCCAGCCACCAGTATCAGGTGACCTGCGTTAGGAGTGGGGACTTCAGTGTTGCTCAGTTTCAGTGTTTTTCTAAATAACAGCAGCAGGGTAGCAAAAGGGCTTACGCCAGCTCGGTGTCACCAATGAGTCCTCTCTGATCCAGTCCAACTAGCTCTACAACACATTTGAAGAAGACTAAGTCATCTTCCCGGCTGCATTCTGATTGTATCTCCAAACATTACAGGTTACCAGATTAGTTTATATGTGTATCTTCTTGTCTGCAGTGGTAATTTTGTTCATTTATTTCCCTCTTTGACAAAAAGAGCTAATTTAATACTTGAATTTTAAAAATGCAGAGCTCTTCAGTTGGTAAATTTTGAGATAATTTCAGCACAGTACTGAAAATACTGGGTTTTGTCCCAGAACAGACATAATGAGGTATTACTGAATCTGCCATTTCAGGAAACAATTTGTAGAAGAGAAATTCCTTTCAGCATTTGCTATAGTTATCAGCGTTGAAGTGGTAACTGAAAAAGCAACATGATAAGAGCCCCCTGCTGCAGCCTTTCCAAGAGAGAAAGGGTGTTGCCTGTAGGGTCAGGTCAGAGCAGTGCTGCACACATGATGAAGAAAAATAACACAGAAAATAAGAAACTTCTTTCAAGGCAATTATCTGTGTTTTTATAACTTGAGCGATGTTTTTCTGTTTCTCCAGCAATGCAATTGGTCCCCTCGTTGCGCTCTGGCTTATCTACGAGCAAGGTGGTGTAATGCAAGAAGCATCGACTCCCGTCTGGCTGCTGTTTTATGGAGGTGTTGGGATCTGTGTGGGTCTCTGGGTCTGGGGTAGAAGAGTTATCCAGACCATGGGTAAAGACCTCACTCCAATCACACCATCAAGGTAGGTGCACAGTTGTCATTACAGTTGTGTGAACTTTGTGTGTGAACTGATCTGAGAAATTGCTGCTCCAGTATTTTGTTTGTAATGCAGTTTGCTGCATTTGCTGTGCTTTGATTTTAATGATAACCTGGCTTCAACTTCTCCATCTTTCTAAAAAATGCAAGAAAAAAGAGGAAAAGGAGAGAAAGAAAGAATGAGAAAGAAAGAGAGAAAGGACAAAAAGATAACCCTGTAAACTAATACTGAATGCTTTTGAGGCGTAGAGGTCTACATGAACAGAGTCTTCTGCTGATGACCTAATTAATGTGGCAGAAGGTGCATTTCAAAATGGCAAGATTACAGTGGCTTTCCCAGTGTGCTTCAGACTATTAAAACCATATGTATTTATTACAGTAATTTTCATCCTTAATGCATACTTGACCTCTGCTGGTGCTTAACCAAATTACTAATTAGGCATGATTCATCGCAGCGTAGAGTAGTAAAAGTCCCTGATGCAATGAGATGTGCAGCTGGGTTGCTACAGATGACTAGCCTGTGCCGTTCCCATTATTCAGCCCTTCCTTGTTCTCTTAACTTATTCCTGTGACAAAAATCAGTCGGAGATAAAACAGTCGAAAGAAGAAACGGGTAAGACTGTGGCACGCTGCATGGTATCAGTCCGAGCTGATGCAAAGAGTGATTGTGAAGTGTTTTCTTATGCTTCCCGCAGTGGATTCACTATTGAGTTGGCTTCGGCGTTCACAGTTGTGGTAGCTTCCAATGTTGGACTTCCTGTCAGTACTACACACTGCAAGGTATGCCTTTGCCCAGCGACTGCAGTCAAGGCAGTCTGGACTATTCATCTTAAAATTGTGCCGCTTGAGCCAGCGGATAATGGCACGGCAAGGGGAAAACAGCCGCTCATGGAGGACGGTTAGGCAGAGGTGCATCAGCGCATCTCGGTCATGCCAGCGACACTGGAAAATAATTAGGCTTCCAAAAAATGCATTGGACTTGTCACAGTAAAGTCGCTGCAATCGGGCACAGTGTGAACTCCATAGCTGTGGTTAAAGAAAAAACAGCGCTTACTAAAACATGACCTCAATTTTAAAGCAAAGAATTACAAGGAAGAACCTGGTTTCCTCCAATGGTGCCATTTGAACCTGGTTGGGTAGCATTTCTCCCTTGTTCAGAGGCTGCGCACCATTCATCATTTATATTTCACTTTCTTGATAAGTGCATGGCATGGGATTTCCTGCATATAACTCTTTTACTACAGTTTTTCCATCTGTCTTTTTTTTTTATTTCTTCACAGTGGATTTTGCATTGAAGTAATGTGTGCGCTAACGGTACTTGTAGCCTCAAATGTGGGTATTCCAATAAGCTCCACCCATTGCAAGGTATTGGAGTTTGCAGTGATTGCATCAGTAAATCACATCACTAGGACAAACCATAACAAAATACAAGAGATACCAATTGTTGCAGATTGCCTTCACTATGTGATGCGCCGTGCAGACGGTGATTGCGAGGTAATGAGGACTGCTTTTAAAGCCAGTATGGCTAAGCAAAGTCAGCATTATAAGTAATTGCACAAAAGTCTGGAATGTCTTTCACGCTTACGTGATCGTATTGAACTAATATAGACATATTAAAATAACGTAGACTTGTAGTTGTGTGATACCAGTTACATGTATTTTAGAGCCACCTGTATGAAAAACACTGCTACATCATTAAGCTAATATTTTAATGTCTCTCTTCTTTTAAACCAACTTGTCCTCACTTTTGTGCATTATAATACAGAATCCGGCACTTGTAATCAGTTCTTTGAACAAGGTTGTTGGCTGTTTTTTTTTTTAAAAAAGACCAGTTTGAATTATAGATATAGGCTGGGTAACGAGCAGAATTTAGTTGTGTTATGTGATACGCTGTGTGAGAAGACATTTATATTGCTTGTAGGCAACAAGGAGCATGTGGACATTTACACTGCTGGAAGAACATAGTGAGAATTTGGAATTTTGTTCCCCAGGGAACTCCCAATTAAAATATCCTTTTTTAATTTCCTCTGCTTCCCCATGGACTCCCAAGCTCTTGGACACGCAGAGCTGTCTGTATCCCTTACCCTCTGGCAGGGCAAGGGGAAGCCCCTCCGAAATCAGAGACCCCAGAGCGGCAAAGCCCCTCTGCTTCGGGACTTACCAGCAAGCCCTACAAGAGCCATATCCTGTAGGATTTGCTGCTGCACCCTGGGGACCTTGGAGCCCTTCCAGCTCTGGCTGGGGCTGGGGCAGGCAGGTTTTTGGGGCTCACTGCTCCACAGCATGGCAGGCGGGTGGGCAAGAAGCCGGACATCCTTGCCTGTGACATTGACCTAGTTTCCAGTGAAAGAGTCAATGAAATCCACACATCCTGCAAAACGCCCCAAGTTGGTTCAGTCAGCCTTTTTCTAGTGAAAACCATTTCTTCAGAAAGCCTTCCTCTATTGCAAAATCATTTCTTTCTTCTGCTGTAGAGCTCTTTGAGAAGTAGCCAAGACTGAGCTGCTCTGAAGGGCTGTTCAGATTTCCCGGCGTTGGCCGAACTCTGGTTCCTCTGAATCAAGCAGGGAGGGGAAAAATAATAACAACGTGATTCACTTCTAAAAATGCTAGCCTGGAACCACCTCCCTTTAAGCTGACTGGTATATCAAATGCGTGACGAAGAATTTGCCAGAGAGAATAATACAGCTTTGATCATCTCAGTTGCATGCCTGAAGTACTTCTAGCCGACCGTTGTAAAAGAGAAAATACAATTTGGTACAGACAAATAAACTGAATTTAAAAAGAAAATGTCTTGGAAGCCATAAGCTAATGAGAGGGCAGCATTAGGAGGTATTCATTGACTCAACGCAGTTAAAAGCTTGGTCTTTTCTAACTGCAGAGCAAAATAATTATTTTTAAAAAATACCTCCATAAAAGCAGGTAATGTGGTTAGTCTGTGTCTGCTCCCTGTAGTTTGCTGTATCTCATTAGATGGATCATTCTTAATGGGAAGATCCACTTCGCAATAGGATTAGACTGTTCCAGGATGTCACATTATTATAACTGACTCTGTGTTTCAGCAGAATGAGATCCTGAGTTGAAAGATCCTAAGTGATCAACACAAGTTAAAGCAAACACTTGTAACAAATGTATTGCTTGTTTTCTTTGAGGGCGTGGTGAAGGAATAAAAGAACTATTATATATCATTTACTCTATGGGAAAATGTCTCTCTGAAAGTGCTGTCAGCCACTGAGATAGAAATGCCTTCTTAAAAATCAGCAGAAAAATTATGTCACCCTAGAAATCAAAAAGAAAATGGGTTCAAGGTGAGCCTAGTCCTAAGCCTCTAGCATCAGGGAGTGGGAATTACTCTTTTCCCCAACATTTGCTCCACAGCACTTGCTAAAGTGGGAGCCCTACCAAAGGGGTGTCAGTCAACTGAATGTGCAGCCACTGGATAAACTGATGGCAAAGAAGGAGCAGCGTGAAACACCTTAGGTGGAGGGAGACCTTTTCAAGGTGAAACAATAGACTATAACAAAAAATGGAGACCAAGTATGAAGGAAAGCTCTGAGCAGCAGTTTTCAGGTCTTGGAGCAGATGTGGTGGCAAACTGGAGATTGGTAGCAGGAAGAAAAGCATTAGCTTCTGAGAAAGATTTGTCAAGCCCTCTCAGATCAGGAGTTGCATTCAGTCCTAAAGCAGAGGCTTTGGTCTACGTGAGGTAGCAACCACCCAATATGCCTGCCCTAAATCTACAGCCCAGCAGCTTTTCCACGCTCAGTGCCTGCCGAGAGCCTGAACTGCACCTTTATCCTTGCCACGAGTCAAAGGGGAGAGGAAAGTTGCTCTGAAAGCCTCCCAAGTCAAGAGGGCCCGAGGGAAAGACCTAACCTTTTGAGCCTCCAAAGGAATTTGTGAGTCTGAACACGGTAGCCACGTTGCTCTGCCTGCACCCATTCAACGTCCCTTGGGATTTAGCACTGAAAAGCCAGTGTGGAGTGAATGCATACCTTGCCTTTCTGCTGCCCAGGTAGGCAAATGATCGTGTTGAATCTTACACATAGTGCCTGTTATTTATTCTAAGATATGAGATGTAGAAATAAACAGGCATTTCTCAGCTGTAACAGATTGAACGTGTTCACATATGGGTAAAATTAGATTGCAGGAGTTAAATGCTTTTTCTGTGCAAAAGCGACTTTGCTGAGGTCATACTGTCAGCTCCATTTTGCTATTATGATTCTGGTATTTTGAAAAATATTCTCAGTGTTGCTCTGATGAAATTATCGTGTTCTGTGTGTTATTATGATATGCCATTGCACAGGAATAAGAAAGCCAAAAGCATTTCTGTAATGCTTTAAGCACAACATACTGAAGGCAAACTGCACTGGTTTCAAACCAATCTCAAAGTAGATATCATCTGAAATTCTGCAGACGGTGTAGTGTCCCTGCACCCAAGTTTTAGCTACTCTCCTAACCTCTAGTCCATCAAAATCACTATTAATAAACTAAACTTTCATAATGTTTAAAACGGATTACCAATGCCATCATTGCTGATACCTTTTGAATTTCAGGAAGAACTCAGAGATTATCGTACGTAGACTGCAGGCTCGCTCAATAAGCAATGCTTCTTGTTGCAAGTATGACAGATGGATACTAAAGACATGCCAAATGTAAAGCAGAACCTAACAGCTGAGCTGCTGGAAAACCAAATGCTGTTTCCTTGGGTTAACGCTTTGATATAGTCAGAAGTATGGGGTTCCTCTTAGCTGGGCACCTCCTAAATACACTTACACCTCCTAAATACAGAATAGCATATTGTACACTCAGGGGTCTTCAGATTAAGTATTGTCTAACAGATTTCCTTATTGATCAAGCTTTAGACTGAGGCCTTTTCAGTCCTAGAATATCAAGTTTAGTTTTCCCTTATTCTGTCACAGGCACTTTTGAGTCTTATTTCTCTAGAGTTACAGGGTCTTCCACAAATAACTCTCTTCTCCAAAACAAAATGTTAAGCAGTAGTTAGAAGTTAAATAGGTGTTAACAAAAGATGTGGGTTCGATATCCCCGTCCTATCTCTCCCTGCTTCCCTGTCTTCCCAGCATTTATCATTTTTCTGGCTCCGCACATGGGGAGCAGCCCATCTTCTCATCTATAGGCAGGGACTGATACTCCCATTAAGAAAACAAGCAGGGAAGAGGAGGTAGGGATGGCTTTTCAAGGAGCAAAAGCCCAGCTGTGTCTTGGAGTTTCCACGTTTCTTGCTGCTTTACCGTGTGCTTTGAATAGACTTGCACCGATTTACACATTTTTGTTAATGGCACGGAGGGCTGTTTCCAGGGCAGAAAGAAAACGCAGCGTTTCTGAAGTTTTTGCATAATTTTTCACCAAGAATATTTTTCTCAGTCCGGTTCTTTCTTAAAAAATAATATGCTGGGTTTATACCTGAGCTTATCAACTGAAAATACATTTGAAGGAAGAAAAGGTTGTAGCTTTGCCCATGCCGCAGTGTGTTTTGTCTTCAAAAACACTGACCTATCCAGCTGCCCTGGTAACAGTGCCTTTGAAGGATATTTTGGTGGTTTATCCGTTCCCCACCTGGAGCCAGACCTCTTGATGTCCATGCAGTTTGCATGTCCCATAGCATCAGGCTGATGTCTTTGTCCACAGGGAGGATTTTAGCTCTGGATACTTTGCTTGGCTGGCTGGTCCAGAAGGGCTGGTTTTCATCGGAAGGCTCGGACTGATGAGTTTGATGTAGGGCAGCTGTACTGGGTCTAACCTTGCGCTGTCTGTGTGCCCCCTGCCAAGTTACCAGTGCTGTTACAGGGTGGGCTCAGCTGCTTACATTGCTGCTGCTGTCCTGTTTATAGCCCACAGTATGGAAATACATAGGTGCTGTTTGGAGTCAGCACTATATGCCAGGCTATAAGCTGCAGAGGTTCAGCAGCTGCTGGGTGAACAGGCAGAATGTTCCAAACCAGCAAGAGGACAGGCAGGTGGGATGGGAACCATACTAGCTATCCCGACATGCCCTATGCCACACTCTCCAGCAGAGCCTTAAAAACAACTTTCCTGGTGTTTTCATGATTTGGACCACAGTCTGGCCAGACTCAGTGGCCCTCTCCCTTACAGACTGAGTCAGGTGCTGGGCGGTTGGAGGGCTGCCTCCATTGCACTCATGGCTGATCCAGGAGCTAGCAGGGCAGAGAAAACCCCACAAACATATTTATTCTCCTTTGGCTGGCCCCGAGACCCATGAAGAAGTGGAGATCACTGAAAAATAAAGGTTACAGCACCCTGGAATTGTCATCCTCCTGCCACCCCACCAGAACACAGCCATTGTCATCATCAGGGGCTCCTTTATCTCAGAGCATCGCTTGGTATCAGCTGACTGGCATTGGTGTGGCCATGGGCATGTTATGAGCGCTTGGACCTACCCCTCACATCTTGTCTCCCTCTCTCTTCCCCGCACTCCCAAGGTTGGCTCTGTGGTGGCTGTCGGCTGGATCCGCTCCAAGAAAGCTGTCGACTGGCGCCTTTTCCGCAACATCTTCCTGGCATGGTTTGTGACTGTGCCGGTGGCCGGCTTGTTCAGCGCCGGGGTGATGGCACTGCTGATGTACGGGATCCTGCCTTACATCTGAAGAGCCTCCGCCAGTGGGAAAAGGGGAAACGGCCAAGCTACTACCGAGGGGAGAAGCGTTCCCATGAAAGAACCAGTCAGAGAGGATCCATCTTCCATATCTAACTTCTTATCTACTGTACATAACAATGTGTCATATTGGTGACATGGTGATGTGGTGCCATTTCTTATATATTAAAGAAATATATATGCATATAGTAGGTAACAATACCTAAGTTATATTATCAGTGGGGTGAAAATAATTGCCTAGAATTTAATATTTAGTAAAATTTGTACATAGTGTATCATTTTGGTGGCAATTTTTTAATCTTTTGAAGAAGAGTATGGATTAGGAAATGTTTCTTGTCCATTTGATATAAGAAGAAGCGAGGTACAGGACTGTGTAACACATGAATTTTTTTAAAGCTATTAAGATACTGGAACAAAATAAAATGTGCAGAAGTGCTTTTCATAAAATAACTTTGTTCATATCATATTGACCTTTGTGTGTCATAGCGTGATGGTTATGGCTGTGTAAATACTTACAAACAGTAACTTTTAAATGGTGCATTTCCCTTATATATTTTGGATAAGAAAGTTTAGGAAGTACCAAAGAAGCAGGGGAATAGCTTGCCGATATTATGTTGCTGTCTACAGGTGTGGGCGTGTGTTGTGTTTTCCCACCTCTAATTCAACACTGTTTTCACCAGGCTCCCGCCAGCAAGGCTAGGATAGTACTGTTCATGTCTTAATGTAACTTTAAAAAAAAAAAAAAAAAGCACACAGAAAAGTTAGTTCTTGTTACTTAGTAGGCAGACCACAGTTCTCCACATTAGCTGATAGTAGACAGACTTCATTTTGTGGGTTGAATTTGAAGTTTCACTGCTCACCTTCTACCTTTCCCCTTCAAGTCTCAGCTCCTGGTTGCCCTGCTGTCAATTCCAGCAGGAGAACAGACCGTCAGTCTCCCCCCTTTCTGTCCATCCAGCCATAGCCGCACCCTCTCAGGTACAGGAGTGGGACCGCGGGGTGCTCAGCACCCCCACATACAGAAACGAAGGGCAGCAGCGGGTAGGAAACAGGCTTAGCTCTGGTTTTGTGGTTGAAGGTATGGGTGCCCGTGGGAGTGCTGACCCACGCAGGGGCTGGCGTGAGGAGCACGGCGAGGATGCGAGCAGATACTGGGTCCCCCCCGGCATATCCCGTCCCACGCCACAGCCTGCCAGCCTCCCACCGTGCTGTCAAGCGCAAGGAGGGGACGGGAGCCTGGCCCTGCGTGGATGGAGGTTGCATGGTAACCAGCATTTGGGATGAGATGTTTTTTCACGGCAGCTCAGGGGGAAATGACTAGCTACATCCTCTTTGGGAAGCACATTTGGGTGAAGGTTACTGTTTTGTGGGTGGGAGGCAAAGGGCAAGGGGTGCCTGGAGGAGGTTGGGAATCTATTACTGTTTAAATGCTGCTAAAATTTTGATAAAATGTTCTTGGTACTCCATTGTGACTTTTCCATTGGTCATTCATACTAAATTTATAATAAAAAGATAAACAGCCCCTATCACTGTTTGCCTCTTGGGTTTTTTGAGCATTACTCAGCCGTGCCAGCCATAACGGGAAGGCTCCACGGGCAGCTAAAACCTACTCCTTGGCATCCGCTGCCTTTTGTTCTTTGTCCCCTGGGGTCAGTGGGGATGAAACCACGCTCTGTGTGGCCCTGACAAAACCTCCCTTTTCTTCCTGCTGTCCCGGCAGCCCCAGCACCCACTCCGCCTAGGGCTTGGCTCATGGGTGTCTTCCCGGCAATGTCTGGAAGCTCTGAGGCTCCTTTGGATGCATTCACTGGGCACTTGCTGGCTCTGACTGCCCCCCAACCCCCCTTGCTGGGGCTCTGCAAGCATCCCCATCGCTGCAGCACTCGGTTTCCAACCCCTCTGAAACCCTAAAGCGATGGTATAAATAGTGCTGGCAAAC